AGACATCAACTCAGGTAAGGTTTATACCAACAAGAACCCAGATTTTCAGCCCTTAAGTGCCCCACCCCCCCACCCCCATCTCCACCCCACACCTCTGGGACAGTCAGTGCTGGACACATGCTTCAATCTCTCCTACCAGTGTCCTCCTTGAGAAACATCCACAAACCAGTGAGTCACAGACATTCTGCTTTCATAGACCTCCATCCTCCCTCCTCCCACAGACCAGGTCAGGCGTATCCTAACAGCCAAGCCTCGGTCACCAGACTTCTACCTTTCTCCCTGGCCCTACATCCTGCTCCTTTCTTGTAAGTCCGATGCTCCAGCCAATCCAAATACAAACACTTGCTGCTCCCAAATACTCAGGTACTTTCAGAATGTCAAGCCTCGCTCTTCCCCCCACTCCCCTCCCCTCCATCCCCACCCCCTGGCAGAGGCTGCTGCTTCTGCCCAGATGCCTGCTTCTGTCCCTCCTTGTCTGCCTCCTGAACTCCTATTCATCCCTCAAAGCCCCGCTCATATGGGCCCTCCAGCTTCAGGCTGCAGAGTCAGGGAGTGTCGACACAAAACTAAGTAGAAGAGCCGGCACTGGGTGGGAACTTACTCTGTGCCCGACACTGCACCACACCACCAGAGCCTGAATCCATCCTGGGCTGGGAGGGTCAGGTAATGGTGTGGAGAAGACCAGGGGAAGATGCTGAACTAGGAAATGACCTGCCAGGACTCACAATTGAGGAGGGGCAGGCAGGACACAGCCGGCCAGGTGGCAAAGAGGCAGGGCTGGTTTCTGGGAGAGTGATGTTGGGGTCCCTAAGGGGCAGAGGCAGTGGGGAGGGTGTGTGGGGATTCTGGGTACACTTTGAAAAAAGCGAAGAGGCTCTGTGCACTGAGTGTGAGATGGGAGGTAGGGAGAGACTCTGGGAAGATTCCCAGATAATTTCCTGACAGGCAGTGTCTCTGCCGAGAGTCACGGGTGGTTACAAATGGCTAATGTGCCCAGGCGCTAGCCAGCATGTTCATTCTGGGCCCACCCGAGGGTCCCTGGAGAGAAAGGCCCACTGCCCTACTTCTGACATCTCACCCATTGAAGATTCTAAGGAGCCCAGTTCTCCTCGGACACCCATGGTCAGAGTCAGCTCCAGGGCTGGTGGTGGGGGTGGGAGCGGAGGCAAAGATTTAGGGGAAGAAAAAGGAGACGGCACATTCCTGGGACAATGGTTGCCGGCCATCAGTTCGTGCATGCGGATCCTCTGTCCTTCTCATTGCTATTTTCAGAAGGAGCAGCAGGCTCCGGAAGGGAAGAGACCACCCCTTTGTCACCCCTTGGTGCCTGGCTCAGAGTGGAGTTGTCTGACATCTCCTTGGGTATCTGTCCTCGAACTCACAGACACACAAGCTGCAATGATGGTCCGCGCCCACTGTGTCCCCCAACACTCCTGGGGTTCTAGAGAGCTGTCAAGTTATTTATGGGTGGTCAGGTGCCCGCTCTCACGTGGCTGTGCAAGAAGCCAGGAGGGGACAGGTCACAAGAGCCAGACCAGACGGGAGGGAAGCCAGTGGCCGGCAGGCAGCCAGCACTCCCTGGATCACTCAAGTCCATCTGGATCGTATAAGGGACTTGGGAAGGTGCTCGTGGAACCAGGAAATGTCCAAAGATAAACAACCGTCTCAGGGTCTTCCTTGCCAGAGAAAGGGACTGGAACTTGGAAGGCAGGAGCCTTGCGGTCTCCCAAGAGGGTCTAGAGGGACAGAGGGGAGGGCAGAAACAGAGACGACGTCCGGGCACCTCCGGATCCCCCATCTCTCATGTGAGCCCCTTCTCTAAGCCCATTCTGGTCTGAAGATTACAGGAGACGAACTCAGAGCCATGCAGGAGACCTTCCGGGTGCTGAAGGGCATCTGTTCTTCCCCTCTGTCACTGTGACAGTTCCACGCCCCCCTGGGGGGACAGTAAAGACACCAGCACCACAAGCGTCCACGTAGGGAGTCTCCACCAGCTTCTAGGACCTGCTGGGTGGTGGAGACTGTGAACGCACTCAGTCCACCCAGAGGCAGCTCAGACGAAAGGCGTCTGCACAACCGGCCACGGAACACCCTGAGGAGCAGAGCTCTGGCCCGGCCCACAGTTGCCGGGAGTTGGAATAGACTCAGGGGCAACTGGTTCCAAGCTCTCTGGCTGGCCACTCTGGGCTGGTCCAAGCAGGCAGTGTAATGGCCCCTCACTTATAGGCTAGACCCTGAGACCCAGAGAGGTGAAGGCCCTTGTCCGAGCAGAAAAGGCAGGGCCAGAGTTCAAGCCTGGGACTCAAGTCCATGCCGGCGGTCAGAGGCCCCGGCAGACACTGGGTAAGCAGAGGCCACTCTTAGAGCCAATGCCCTGGGTGAGTTAGGCTCTGGTTTGTCAGGCCTGTGCCAAGAACACCACAGAAAGAACAAGGATGTGGCCTCAGGCCCCATTCAGGCAGAGAATGGAGTGCCAGCCTTTCTTTGTCTGGCTTCCCTCGGCGCCCGCCCTTGAAAACTCAGCTTGCCAGGGAGTGGGCAGCCGATGAGTCTAGGAATGTACTTTTAATGCCCTCTTTGTTTGCAAGTGGAAAATACATACACATCAAAAGCCTCGACCCCAAGGAGCCTCAAGGCCCAGGGGACAAACCCTGAAGGCCTACATGTCACAAGAGGGGCATGAGCCACTCTATGCTGGGTGTGGACGCCCCGTTTCCACCCCCTCCCTCCCTTCCATGAGGATAGCTCTGACCCTTCACCTGCAGCTTCCCAGTCCCGGTCCGCTCCTCACTGGGCCTGTTTCCAGGACCAGGTTCTAGGAGGTGGGCTGTTGTCGTTACTAGCAGCTGCCCAGTCGGCCCCCAACTCACGCAGGACAGCTCTGACCCCTGTGATCCACACAGCTTTCAACAGGCTGCTTTGCAGAAGCAGTTCGCCAGGCTTCCTATCATCTACCCGGGACTGAAGGTGCCGCTAAACCTGCCCGACATCCAAGCAGCAGGCAAACCTCGACTAGCAGGAGGCGTGCATGGGCTGGGAATCACACCGAGGGTCTGGGACACAAGAGGTGTGCAGACAACTTGAAAGCACCAAACCCAATCCAAAGTGGAGCGGAGACAGCTAAGACAGCTAAGGGCCACCCCCCTTCCTTGACAGCCTCCCAGACCCCCGGATCCCAGCTTTCCCGCAAGGCTCTCATAGTTAGTCCAGGGCTGACCCAGGCCCAGCTCAGTGCCAAGCCCCAAACTCAAGTGCTCATGAAGAGCATGGGGCGCGATACACGCATAATTTTTGACCAGCATCCAACCCTGGGTTGGCTCCCTCCTACCCCAGCTTTCTAGGGGCTTCTCACCATTCGGGCCTCCACCATGCTTGTCCTAGGACGCCCCTTGTAGAGTTACTAAGGAGGCTGATGGTGCTGGGAGTTAGGCACTGGGCTACTAACTGAATAGTCAGCGGTTCGAATCTGCCAGAAGAAAGATGAGGTGGTCCGCTCCAGTCAAGATTTACAGGCTAATAATAAACCTTACAGAAGGTCTCCACGAGTCAGACATGATTCAATGGCAGTAGGTTTGATTTTTGGGTTTGGTAGCATGAATAACTAGACTGTGGCACGTTGTTTAAAAAAAACGCCCCTATTTCTCCAGTCCTCTCATAAAAAGGCTGTACCGGATCTAGATGGAATTGTGCCCCTGTACCAACGCGTTGAGAACCGAACCCCATAACAGCTGGCATCACCCCGTTGAGGGCGAGGATTTCCTCCATCACCCGTGGTATGGGTCCTCAACCTCAGTGCAGCTGGGTCATGGGAACAAAGGCACAGTTATCAGGAAGTAGAGAGATGCTGTCTGAAGCTGAGGGATCTACAGGCTATGAGAACCTGAAATAAGGAACCATGGTGGGGCTGTGGGCTGCTAACCACAAGTTCAGTGGTTCAAACCCACCAACTGCTCCATAGGAGACGAGGTGAGTCTGTCTGCCACCAGAGAAGTCACACAGTCTTGGGAATCCTATCGAGGTAGCCACAATTAGTTAGAATCGACTGGCTGGCAGTGAATTGAGATGAGGCTGAATTGGCTCAAGGTGGTAGGTGGTTTTGGGGTGGGTGGGTGACGGTGGAATAGTCCAGAAGAAACTTTCCCCCTGAATGGAGACCACAGTCTCCTGAACTTTGAGAAAACTACAAGAAAATACATTTCTGGTTTTTTAAAGCCACACATTTGTGTGGTGTTTGTGTTAAATAGCACGAGGTCATCTCTTGAATCTGAGTTGGTCATGGGACTTTCTTTGGCCAATGGTATACTGGCAAAAATGGCCCTCGCAGAGACTTGAGCACTGGACTTTCTCTTATTCTGTTCTAGGAATGCTGAGCCACATGTGAGCCGGCCCAGGCTAGCCCGCTGGGTGAAGAGACCATGTGGACCAGCCAGCCACTCCTAGTACCCCAGCCAAGAGCCAGCCAACCCCCCAGAAGAACTACCCTGATAACCGATAGCTTACTATACATTTGTGGGAGTCTTACTCAGCTGAGCTCACCCAGACTGCCAACGAGTACAATCATGAACTAAATAAATGTTTGTTCCGCAGCAAAAGGTAAGTGACAGAGGCCGATTTTCCCCTCTCCTCCCCCCACCTGCATAACTACCACAGCGTCATATGAGCATTTTCTCCCCACAATCACAGGTTTCATATTCTAACGAGATCTTTTCTAAAACAGACTCAAAACACTGTCATTTTCAGATCCACGTTTCCTCCAAAGTTGATGGCAAGTATGAACTGGGGAAACAATCCTCGGTGTCATCCCACGGGGTCAAGAATGATTCGCTGCCTCACGTGACAGGTAGAGAAATGCGTGGTCAGTAAGCGGCAGCGCTGAGATCTGATCCCAGGCCTGAGACCAAGGGCACGGATATCTCACCAAAAGACAGAAAAGGAGGACGTGTGTGTCTCTCCTTTGTGCCTCCACACCCACGCCCTCCCCCCCACGAGGCTGGCCTTACTCCCAGAACTCGATGACAGGGGAGGTGTAGTTGGTGTTGTTGGTGGCGCTGAGGGTGATCCACATGCTCTTATTCTTGCGCATGGTGTCTTCCATGCATTGCGGCGTGTTCCAGCTGTGGTTGCAGTGTGCCCAGGGCAGATCCGTCTGGAAGGAGTGGAACAGGTAGTACATGGCCCAGGCCAGGATGATGATGTAGTACACGTTCAGCAGGGACACGATCACGATGGAAGCGTAGCCAATGCCTGCAGAGGTGGGCAGAGACAAGCAGCTGAGGTGAGGCCAGGTGCACATCGAGGTGCGGCCAGGTGCACATCCGCCCAGAGCACCCACAGCAGTCCCAGGGACTGGGCTAGACGACGACCTTCCCAGCCACCCGCAAAATCCACGGAGGAGGACCGCAGGATGGGACGGATAGATGGATGGCAAAATAATCGGGGCAGCGGGTGAGAGAAGGAATGAACAATGGATGGTATCGGGGACTGAATTTTTATCCCCGCCCCCCCCCTAAAAAACAAAAACAAAACCAAAAAACCAAGGATTGGAAAAACCGATGCCTGTGGCTATGGCTGGCTCATCGCGGAATAGGTTATTGTGATGCTACTGAGGGAGGATGCGTGTGAGTCAACCTCTGAGGGGGAAAATAAACTTGTTTGTTAAAACCACCACCTGTGGTATTTCTGTTCTAGCAACTGAGAGTAGATGGCCTGGTGGTTAGATGGTGCGATAAATGAATGGAATGTTGGCAGCAGCGGGTTAGTTAGATGGGTAGATCGCTATGTGATGGATAAGCCTGGGTTTCTGGGATGGCTGGAGATAAACAATGAGTGAGCGAATAGGGAAATGGATGGTTGATTGGATGGATGATCTAATGATTGAATGGCTTACTGTACGAAAGGTTCAATGAATGGATAGGGCCAAGTTTCTAGATAACTGAGTGAATAAACTCAAATACTCATATCTCTGCCAATTATGCTAAGTGATTACTTCATGAGTGTTAACATTATAATAACCCGAACGGTTACGATGGCAGTGCTTGCTAGGTGTACAAAGTCTTTTTACCTAAGTCGCCTTGTCTTCAAAGAAACCTGTATGGTTCCATTGCTGGATGAGGACACGGCGCAGGGGTAAAAAGAAGTTAAGGCACAAGGGTACCAAGAAGAGGAAGTAGAACTTGAACCCAAGACAGAAAAGGCTCCTGCCCTTGAGTGCTAACCTGTTCACCCCTCCCCCTCAAGAGCCCCCTAAAACAGAACAGTTGATCCTTACTGAGCTACTACCAAGCGTCAGTCACCTGCCAGTCTCCTTCCGCCTACAGTTTTACCAGCAAAGGCAGCAGCCGCCCAGGGAAAATGTGCGGGCTGCTATCTTGTATCAGGCATGTGATTTCATGAGAGTTCCAGGTCCCTGACAAATAGCACGTGGTCCATAAACACTTGCTGAGCCAACGAACAACCGGCCCACCCGCCTCGCCCCAGCGCCTTCATCCACACTCACCCGTGAACAAGGGGCAGATCTTTTCCCAGCAGGTTATTCCCCCTTGGGAGGTGTACTGGCCGATGACCACCTCCAGGAAGAACACAGGCAGGCCGCCGCCAAACAGGAAAATAAAATATGGTATGAGAAACGCACCTGTGAAGAAGCAGAGCGGGGCAAGGGCTGGTCAGATTGTGGCTGCCAGGGAGCTGGTATTTCTGCAAACTGCACCTGGAAGGGGCTGGACCCCAACCCCCGCATCCCCCTCTTGGTGGAAGGACAGGTGAGTGATGTGAAGAATGTGGGCGTGGGAGTCCCACAGACCAGGCCCCCCTGCGTGGTTGGTGTCCTCTCGGCAGTGTGCCCACCACTTGGCAAGGCCGCCAGAGCCTTGGAGCCTTTGCTCATTTAATCTGTGCCGGCCTCCTTCCTCCCACCTTTCCGTCTTGAGTAAGTACTGCTGGCCCTGTGGGACCCTTCTCAAAAGCGACTTCCTCGCGGAAGCCTTCCCCAAGCGCCCCCCAGGCTTCTCAGAGGAGGCAGCTCAAAAGAGCTCCTCGCTGGCAGGATTCAGTGCTAAGGCAGGAGGCCAGCATCTCCAGCCAGGGGGTGGGAGCAGGAGAGGAATGAGGGGCCGAGGGTCTGGATGGGGCTCCTGCTTAGGTTCTGCTGATGGTGGCTTTGGGGTCCACGAATGCTTTGAAGCTGAATAACTCGGGTTGAGTACTCAGATCCACAGGGGCCCGGATCCTACAAAAGGCGAGGAACCAGGCTCTTAGGCAGACTTCTTCCAATGTGGTAGCATGAAGCCTGTCCTTTCTTCCCAAGCAGACAGTAACTCGGGGTGAGGAGCCCCCTCGAGCATGTCTGTATTGGGCCCTGCCGGCCTTTAAAACCAGTAACAGGAGACACGTCCATGAGGGAGGGGATTCTAGCTCAGAGCCTTCCACAGGCCCCCAAAACAAACAAGACAAAAAAACAAAACCAAAAAAAACCCCCCACAATCCAAACCAGCCAATCAGATGCCATATATTAAAACAAACAAACAAAACACCTCTCAACTCTATTTTATTTTTCTGGGCATTTCTCCATGATGGCAAATGACAGTGGTTTCCCATTTAGAGGAGAACACAAAGCTTGCTTTTGAAGGCTGTTTGGTTAAGTCAGAAAAGCAAAAGCGCCCATCAAGAACTACATCAGTCCAGGCCCTGATGTATCTCTGGGGACAGGTATATGTGAGGATGCTGAAGAACAGGAGACAGGAGCATAACTCAGCCCGATCTCTTCCAGGAGGGCAAGCAACTGCTGAAAGTCACACAGGAAAACCTCCACAGAGTATCGCGCGGGCCGGCCCCGCTTTCCCGGAGGTGAGGTGGGGATGGGTAAAGGGAGGCTCAGAGAAACACCCACACTTGGGTCCCACGGGACCTCTCCCCTCCTCGCAGCTCCCGATTACCTCCACCATTTTTGTAGCAGAGGTACGGGAAACGCCAGACGTTGCCTAATCCAATGAACCCTCCAGCCACAGAGAGCACGAAGTCGATCTTGCTGGACCACTTCTCCCTCTGCGGGTGCTTGCCCTCGGCCTCATCTTCAGGCCGGGTGCCCGGGCTCTTCCCTGGAGACGGCTTCAGGATGTCCTTGTGGAAGTCCTTCAGGCACTGCAGCTTCTCCTTGGTGGCCATCTCTTCACTTTCTAAGGAGACAAAACCAAACCCGGCCACGGTCACTTGATAAGGCAGTAAAAACCTCTCCGGCCGGCCCAGGGCGTGGGCGGCAGCTCCCCAAGTCTGCCCACTGCTCTGACCACCACACTGTTAAATCATTCAGATGCCCTGGGGTCAAGGATTTCAGGGTCCAGGCTGAGGATCCTTGGGTCCCACCGAATCGACAGGCTCTCTACTCTGAACATCTGCTGAACAGAAGCAACAGGGATCCTGATGCGGTCAGAGACGCATCAAACTGCTCCCACTGGCAGATTTAACACAAGCACGAGAATGGAAGGGAGCAGGGAAACTAGATGCATGGAAATGGAACGACCAGAATGGAAAGGTCAAAGATGTTCACACGTTATGAAGAATGTAACTAATGTCACTGAGCAACTTGTGTAGAGATGGCTGTAGGGCAACAAAACTACACTCCACCCACCCATTTCCTCCCGGGCCCTGGGACTTGAGAAGCTGGCTGAGCCCTAGCTGGCACCCCACCCACCCCCACCTCAGATCTTCTGCTCTCATCTCCCTCTAGGGTTCAGCCAAAAGGAGGGGTCCCCTAAGTCAGAGAGTGAGAGAACAGGGGGTCTTTCTCCCCTACGTCCCCTTACAGTGCCACACATCTGGTGGCAGCTGTGTGACCTTTCCTGGCCACAGCACCTGTTGGTGATTACGCCCCCCCCCCGCCCCCCATGGCTCCAGATCACTCCCCTAAATTGTTACAAGCTGTCTCTTCAGGCCTCCAGGTGCTAACAGCTCCCTTCACTATCAGAATCCAGTCCCCTTTCCTCTGAGCATACCCCTAAGCCTGCACAATAAAGTCTCTGGGACCATCCAGCTAGAGGCCCAGTGACCAAAAGTCAAGTTCTGAAGTCCCCCCAGAGCTGCTCGTTGTCACCTTTACCTGCTCCCAGGTCAGACACCACTCTAAAGGGGCTGCCACCAGCCAGGGCAGAGGACCTCTTTCTGTGCTTCCTCAGGTCCCCAAGTGGGCACCCTCCCAGCGGCGTGACCCTGGGGCCGCAGGCTCATCCAGCACCTGCCAATCATGCCCGGAGAACTGACCAGGGCTTACTGTGGACACAAGGAGAACCAGCCTGGAGGGAGGGGACAGAGGGGAAGGCTAGGTCCCTGCCATCAATGATCTACTGTGAGATGACAGAAGGCCACACAAGACAAATAGACAAGTTGAGGCAAGCCGGAGCTAGGGGGCCTGCTTGTCCCACTCTGGGCCTCCGTTTCACCACCTGGGAAATGAAATAAATGACAGCAAAGAGGACCGACTCATTGCCAAGCCTCCTCCTTCCTCAGGATGGGCCTTCTACCCACAGGACAGACTCGGGGGCCCGTGGGCATCAAGCTTGCCTTTCCGTCAGAGCACTTATCCACGCCCGAAGACACCCTGCTCATTTGGGTCCTTGTGAACGGACTCCTCAACCAGACTAGGGGCTGCAGGAGGAGGGCCAAGACCCTGCCTGACAGTGCTAGCACCGGGTGCCCCGAGCCTGCCCCCAGCCTGCCCCATGATGGCAGACGGCAGGGGCTCTTTGAACTGATCAAGTACCCAGTTCAAATCCCAGTGCCGCTCCCCAACGGTGAGCTCGAGTGAGCCCCTCAGCCTGACACAGGAAGATGGTCCGGTGGCGGGGGGAGAGGGGACTGCGGTGGGGTCTGGGTGAGGCTGATACAAGCACAGTGCGGCCTGCCGGCAGGGTTGTGCCAAGGCGCTGTGGCCCAGCAGCATGCAGAAACCCGGCCCCCTTGCCCCCCACCTTCTTCCTCTCCTGGCTTGCAGTGGGGGTTCCTAACTCTGGCAGCGAGCAGAATAAGAAAAGGCCCCTGGAGAGGCTGGCCGCTCACAGAGATCCAACCTTGCCCACCCCCTGGAATGCTGACGTGCTGGAGTTGGCACCCGGAGCGCTTTTCTCTGCCGTTCCCTGGGGTGAGACTAGGGCCTGGCTGGCTGCAGCTCCTGCAAAGAATAACCTGCACGGTTCAAGCATTGTTCTAATGCCGCTGTGTGCGCCTGATGGTTATCAGAGGGCCCATTGTGGCCCGTTCCACGGAGCATAATTGGAGGATGTAGGACTCAACTCCCTCCTGGTGAAGATGTTGTTCAGGGAATGACCCTTGGGGCCTCCGATCTCAACAGGACTGGCTCCACCGTGCGGGGACCTCCCCTGGATCTCAGAGCTGGAAGCTGCTGAACCTCGTGAAGCCTCTTGAGATGTCAGGGGGGCACTGCCAGCTCCTCACATTCCTGGTGAGGGGCTCACAAGTGTACCGTGTGTCTTCCCCCCCTAGAGGTGGGCTGGTAACCTGGAGGCGCCTGGCTCTGCCCTCTGAGCCCCGAACCCCACTTGCCGTAGTGGTACCCAGAGTGGTCTAGACATCTGGGAGGCAGCACCTACAGTTCCCTGAGACTGCTCAGCTCCAGGCTCTGACTTCCCATGAAACGCATTTCCCAGCCCCCACCACACTGAACACATGACCTTCCTGGTGGAAGCCATCTTCCTGACGCCCGTTGGATGCGCCAGGAGGTGTGCGTGGTGCGTGGTGCCAGGGAAGGAGTGCATGTGTTGGCAGGGGGCATATGGTTATGGGAAGATTCATGCTAATGCCTGGTGCCATGGGGGGGTCTCCCCATACTGAGCCCATGGCGGATAAGCTCCCAATGTCACCTCTCCCACCTGGGCTGCAGCAACCCAGGCGTCCTTGCCCTTGGAGAAGACAGAGCCAGCTCCCACCCCGTAGGTTTATCTCTGGCTTCCCCCAAAGCCAGTGGCAAGTGAGGTCCACTGCCCACAGCCTCACCAAAGCCTACAAGAGGTCCGGCGAGGCTGAGGCAGACGCAGGTGCTCCCCAAGGCTCTCTGGGGGTGTCTGACCAGACCCATGTCTGTAAAAGCCCATCTCCATCAGACTTGCTGATGATGCTACCTCCTGAATGTTCTGGCAGCCACCCACATCTGTTACCATGGCAACCACTGTGCTCAGGGCATCAGCCTTCTCTGGGCATCTGCACAGCCTCTTTTAGGTCTCCCTGCTGCTACTCTGCGCACACACACATCTATTAGACACTGCAGCTGAAGAGAACACAGCACAGCCCACAGAAGACCGTAATGCCCCCCCCCCCAAGTCACACAATCCTCTGCTGAGCTGCAGGCCCCCATCCGCTCATTTGCCTCTCTCCTGGGGGCAGCAACTACACAACTGCTCTAGCCCCTCGCAGGCCTTAGGTTTGGGTCACCTTTCCCATTTGCTATCGTGACCTCCACCTGTTCCAGCCCGTCAGGGGGAGGCTAACCCCCGAAGGAATCTGAGCACGAGCCTCTTCCTGGCTGTATAATAACTTCAAGCAAGTTGCTCGACCTCTCTGGGCTTCCGGTCCTTATCCGTAAAACGGTGTAACGGTGCAACTCCTAGGAATATTGTAGCAATGGGATTGGAACGGGGAGGGCAGGCATCTGAAGAGCATGCTCTCCGAACCGCATTGCGTATGGAGCCGGCGTTCCACAGGTGGTACCTGGGTCATCAGAGTTGTGGTTACTGCTGCAATTATTCGTGAGCTCACCCCTCAGCTGGTAGTGACCGTGACCAGGCCCGTATCCAGGCCTCAGCTTCTGCTCACTCAGGCTGTCCCCCTTGCTCAAAGAGCCTGACCTCAGACAACACCTTTCCAGGAATATCTGTCCACCTTTGGAGGCTCGCAAATGGCCCCCTAGCTCATGCCCAGCAAGCGAGATGCCACCTGGCTCTTTCTGTGCTAGAAGTAAGTGCTCGGGGACAAGTCTCCACATGCATTCAAGCCGCCTGCTTCCCTGTCAGCTACCAACTAGCCACGGAGCTGCTTTCGTTGGCACTGGGCCCAGGGTTATTTTGCAGCAGCTGAGATACATAATTCCCCATTTTAAGAGCTTCCTCTTTGGTTATGAGAGCTACAAAGGATTAGAATCGGCTCTGATAAAAACCCTCCTTATCTTTGCTCCAGACACAGCAACCTGAGACAGCTGTGCCCGAAGACCACCTTGCTGGTCATCTGGTCAATTTGGCAGAAATGTGGACAGAGTCAAGTCAGTTCCAGGGACACTGTGGCTTTATACGATGTTCCTTTGCTCTCACCAACCCCCTCCCCGCCTTTGAGGGATCCGGTTTCTGGGTACTTCCTGTAGGCTGAGCTGTTTACAGACTTGATTCCCTATTCACTGCTCAGAAAACTGCATTATGGGAGGCAGTTTTAGTCGTGTGTTGCACAGGAGAGAAACAGAGGCTCAGGCCGGAGGCTGTCGGGTTGGAAGGAGGCAGGAGGGTGAGGAGCCCTAACTCCCCAGAGCCAGACGCCCGAAGGCACTAGAGTACAAGGAAGCTTGGAAAGGAAGGTTCACAGGTCAGGAAAGGCCATACGCCGGGTTTAGAGTGAGGGGCAGAGCAGGGCAGAGACCAGGTACCTGTCTGCCACCATGTCCCTCAACTCACTGACCCTCAGGTGCCCACGCAGAAGCCACTTTGACCTTGAACTGAGTTGCAGGTATTGCAGGGGCTGCCCCACCCAGCACTTACCACTCAGATCATGGCTTTGGGGAGACCAAGCTCTTGCCTCTTTGTCCTGGAGAGGCCGCCCAGAACCCTGGAGTCACCTGTGCGGCTCACCAACTTGCTGCCCCTGCCCCGGAGCACCTGAATCTCCTCGAGGAAAGGGCAGGGCTGAAGGTGTCTGTGGACCTCCTTATCAGCTTCCCAAGTGGGAGGAGAATTGGGATCCTTAGCGCCCAGCTGAATTCGGTGAGGAGGAGGTCAGACGCCCCTCCACTCGCCACCTTTTCCACCAGCTCTGACACGGACATCTCTCCGGCGTGACTTCTCTGCTAGCTTCAGAATGCTGTTGCTGCTAGCTGCCACACCAAACTCACAAACCACAGTGCGTATTGTGGCATTTAACAAGGAAGAGGCTCCAGCACAACACAGCTCTCGAATCAAAACTGCCT